TATAGATTTAATAAACACTACATTTAATTTTTTTCATGATAGTACCTCAAAATGGCGGTCTCATCCGATGTGATTTTTTGTACAAAATGAAAACAAATAAACAATTACCAAAGCGTGCACGCTTGAGCAAGAAGGCAGAGACGGGGTGACGCACTTATACTGTCTGACGCCCAACCGTCTGCAGCGAACTGGAGTGCACTCATTGCGATCTGCAGCGCATGGTCCCATGGCACGCCGCGTGCGACGACGCGACCCGCCAGAGAATGGCCCCTTGGCCCCTACCAGTGTACAAAGCGCCACCTATAGTCACTTTCATTCCTTCGAACAAGCCATGGTTTCGAAATCCCCGAGGCTATGTGAGTTGTGGGTGACGAGATGAGGACAGAGAGGGGCAACCGACGAAAGGTGAAGCAGGGAAAGACTTGTATGTTCCGGTTCAAGTAGTCTGGGGCACAAATAATTGTATAGCAGATAGTGGATAGAATAGATTCCAAGTAGTGCCGTTCGCAATCTTGGAGGTCCTGCTTTTGTGTGAGTGAGAGCTGCACCCCCACTCACGCAAACACCGACCATTCGTTCAGGGAGGGTTGAATCAACCCCTAGTGCCAGAGACCCACAAAAAAGGTTATCATTGGTATTCTGACGGCTTAACATGAATTTACTCGAAAAAGCTTGAAAATAACTGCTGAGAACATGCAACGGCTTGTTTTTACGAAAAAAATGCACGTGGCAGGAAATGATGGGATTGTAAGGGCGAGAACGCACGGCGCATTCACTTGTAGTGGTCGTTCGTTTTTTTCGTTCCATCTTTATTGTCTATCCTGTCTGGACGTGCCCCTGGTCCCAAGCAAAATGATTCTTTACCCTCACGATTCATTCCGCCTAAAAATGTGAGATAGGATGGCTGTTTACTGCCTTTTCCTCTTCACAGGCTGCGTTCATACTTTGCGAGTATGGAGAAGGCGCCACGTGTCTCGGGAGGGACCACCTAGCGGCCCAAGCGAGGACTTGTTCTGGCACGATAAATCGCATCATCGCTTCTTACGAGAGAGGTGATACGAGAGTGTGCGCTGCGGATGAAGGGAGTGTCCGGTGGGATAAGTTAGTGCGGCGCCAAATCCCCACCACTTGTTAAAGCGTGTAAGTGATAAGAATCGGTGGAAAATGAGTGATGCGAACGAGATAGGGCTTGTTCGCTTCAAAACAGTTGGAAAACGGGCTGACGCCGTGCCATACCTAATCCTTCATCCGTATCGAACAAGACCATAAGTTTGACGCTAACCAAGACATCTATGTCTTGGAAAGTGGGTGCAAGGGCGCACACATCGTACGTAATTCTGGATTCTGGTTCCTCCCCAGCCACATAGTTCTATGGAAAATCCACGTATTTTGAGAATGAATCAGGGCACTCATAGCTGTACCATCCGCCTCGGAGGAAGAGGTGCAGAATGTCATTTTTGACCGCTTGCTTGCAAGCGCAATATAAATACGTAAATGAGCACCAAACGGCGCAACAGTGTCCAGCAGCAGTGCTGGAGCGCGAGGTTTATAACCGGTTCTGTTGAACGGTGGTTCGTCTTTGGCCCCCTGCTGGAAGGAAATACTGATGCGG